TTCTAGGGCTGGACACGCCAGGTCCTACGCCCAGCCCGCTCTGCACTTCGTGGCCTTGGGAAAACAGGCATCACCTCATGAGGTCTAAGAGGAAATGACTGCCCCGCTTCCCTGCTCTGACCAGTGGCACCAAAACCACCACATCCTCCACTCGGAGCTGCGGCCCCGCTCCTCAGGGTCCCTACAGCATGTTCCACGTGCCACCCACCTGCAGGGCCCTGGAAGACTCATCCCCACACAGCTCCGCCCCCTGCAAGCTACAACCCACCCTCTGCAAGCTGCCGTCTCCCTTCTGCTCCGAGGAGCCAGGACACACATGTGAAGCACCTGCTCACGGCTGGCCCACCTTAGATGCAGGTGGCCCCTGGCACGGCAGATGCCCAGAAACCAGCTGAAAGAGCTGAGAAATACCCCTTTCCAATAGCTAGCTTGTGCTTACATGAGCATTTATCGAGCACCTACTGTGCGCTCTTCCTGTGCTGGGCCACAGAGACAGACAGGGTCCTGGCCCTGGAGAGTACACGGGGAGCCCGACACCAAATGACCACAAGGAAACGAGGAAGCAGCCACGCAAGGCTTTCCATCAGTCTGCAGCCCCTCCCCTGCCCTGGGCCAGGCCCCCGAGGACGGGCCAGGCTTCCACACGGCAGCACAGACCTGAGCCTTGACCGGTCGGAGGACGTCCCCTGGGGCGCTGGCGCCCGGCCATTCCAGCCAGAGGGGCAGCCAAGCTGATCCCAGAGGGCAGCCTTGGGCAGCCGAGAAATCGGCCCAGCAGGTTGACCAGAGGCTGGGGAGACATTCAGGTCACACCGTGAGAGCTGCAAAGGCCAAGCGCGGAGGCGGCCTGATGCTGCAGATGGGCGCCCTGAGACATGTCAGCCGGGGAGACACGCCAGAGAGGCCCCCGGGCCAGAAGAGCCAGGACACTGAGAGGGGATTACGGGGTCCAGGCTGGAGGCTGCGGACCAGCCAGACGTCCGCCCTGTGACTGAAGGCTTTCCGGACCCTGGACCCGGAAGACACAGAACCGACTCACCTCCCAAGCCCAGGCCCGTCTCCCACCTGCCCAGGCTCATTAGCACCCTGGCTGTGGGCGAGGCCGTAGCGGGGAAGGAGGGCAGACCCGAGGCGGGGATCCAGCTCCTCGGTGGTACCGCCACCGAAAGCCTGTGCTGAGAGGGCAGCCAGGCCCGGGAAGGGGGCTGCTGTGCCGAGTTCACGTGGGAGAGGTTGATTCCGGGCTGCCGGTGTAAAACTGTGTCCCTTTCTGAATACTTGGCAGGAACAGATCATGGCTCCCGGTGGAGGGCAGCCAGCCAGCGGTGTCTGGGGCGGAAGGCGGGGGGGCTGCCCCTGGCCGGCTCTGTCTGGCGCCAACTCCCTGAACAGAGCTCTGATGCCCCTGCCATCCCCCGGGGTGCCTGCCCCCTGTCTTCCCCAGAAAACATCCCACCGCCCTCCTTCCCCACCACCCCGCACCCCTAACATCCAGCTTCCTAGTTGGTGCAGGCGCAGCCTGTGACCCCGCGACCACATCCAGGGTCTGGCTCGGGCAACAGTAGGACAGACGTGGACAGACAGGTGCCCGAGCATGGCACCTGGTCCCAAAGCCCTAAGGACCTGACTCCTTTCCACAGGTCCCAGAGAGGAGCCATGGTCAATGGTGGGCTCACTGTAACCCCCTTTCATCCGGCCACACTGGGAACAAGAATTCCAAGTTCCAGCCCAGCCGCGACCCCCCGCCCCCGACGAGAGATACCACACTTCCAGAGCTGGACTCCCTGACGCCCTCGACCCGTGCCAGGCACTCCTTTAGAACATCAGTTCAATACGGAGGGAAAGTCAGGATAAAGTCTTTATTAGTATAATCATCACCACTACCAAAGTCGTTCTCCAACTCAAAAGGCATTCTCTGGGGCGGTGGCATCTTCCAATCTGGTCCTCGCAGGAAGCAGCAGAGCAGGAAGGCTGGGCGGGCGGGGCAGCAGAGCTGGGCGGGCTCTGGAGCCAGAGTGCTGGAGGCAAATCCTGGCCGCTCACTTACGCGCCTGTGACTCCGGGTAAGTTACTCAGCCCGGAAAGTGTGCTGATCTTAGGAATATGAGGAACCTAGCAGGTGCTAGGTCCATAAACGGTGCTGACTATCACGATGATGATACAAAAGGCTGACGATGGCCAGTTCTCCTGGGTTCCCGCTAACCCACCTCAAACGCAGGCCAGAGAGCAGTCTCTGGAGCCGGAGGGCTGCTCAGAAGAGGAGCAGCTGCACCAGCCTCCCGGGCACCCCCTGACTCCACAGCCCCTCCCAGAGCTTCAGCGCCTGTGTCTCTGCGATGGCGCGGATGCCACCACCTCCCGGTGGCTGCGGGATCAGAAAGGACAGAGGGCGGGGACGTGCTAATGAGGAACGTGACTCAGGACCCCACAGCTGAGACTCAGCCACGCTGTGTCCGCAGGATTTCACTGTTCGTACCAGGATGCTGACGCAGTCAGGGCTGGGTCCCCATCCTTCCCATGGGGGACATCAAGAGGCAGAAAATGAGACAGTCTTCCATCAACCCATGTAAAGAAAACAATAAAACTTTATCGACTGGGAGCTCCGAGATGGGGGCTCACAGGGTCAGCACGACTGCCTGGTCTGCTCTCTTGCGTCCACCTCGGGGCGGGCTGCCCTCTCCTGGAGGCGGGAGCGCAGGGCTGCTGGGACTGTGTGCAGCCTGCCGCGCCAGTTCCCAGGAAGACCCCGCTCTCCCCAGCCAGCAATCACGCCAGGGAAAGGTCCACGGCACTGCTACCACCATCGTGGACCCAGCCACACGATACGGAGCCCAGGGGCCGACAGCCTGGACTCTGCGGGCTGGGAGGGGGCGCACACCTCTAGCCACAGACCCCTCGTGTGGTCCGGCCCAGACCCCAGACGTCAGACCCCTGGTCCCTGCTCCCCACAGCCCTGTCTCGGCTGCTCTTCAAGTGACTCTCAGCGCGGCACAGGCTGGCCCTCCTGGGACCAGCACCAAATCCATACCTCACCTGCCTCCCTCGGGTCTGCCGCTGTTCATTCCCGCTTCACTTAGTCTCATGTCACCCACTCCTCCATTCAGGGGTCCAGCAAACACTTAGCAGCCAGGCGGTGCTGAACGTTCTGGCAGAAAACAGAGGAATCCGAGAGGCGGCCTACCTTCACAGCCCAGCAAGTCCGTCATTACAGACATGGCACAGATCACAATTCAAAGAACAGAAAGAATGACGCTGGACTGAGCCACCCAGGTTAAATTCCATTTGTAGCAAATAACACAATCAAAACAAACCCAACAGCCACAGATATGCCTGTGCGCATTAAAAAAATCTAAGCCTTGGCCAACAGTTTGCTTCTCCCAAACACTAGTCCAAACACTAGTCAGAGCAACGAAACTCTCAGTAACACAGAAAGGTGCTGTGTGCTGTGAGCCATGGTCATAAACGTGGGTGAACCGACCCAGGAGAGGAAGGGGACAGGAAAGCGTCCAAAGAGAACCGGAGTACAAGGCATTCCAAGTGGAAGGCACAGACATGAGAAAAGACATGGGCTGTGCAGGAAACAAGGGCTTGTGCACTGGCAGGGCACACGAAGCAAGTGGGTGGAAGGTGTGGCTGGAGCAGTAGGCAGGAACAGGGTCCCGAACAGGGTCCCGACCTTCACCTTGCAGGAGGGGACTTAAGGACTCCTATCTGCCCATGAGCCCCCAAACCCCTAGATGGCAGTGCCCGTGTATAGGTGCCCACCTCAGGGCCCTGCAGAGGAGCGCCCGGAGAAGGTAGCCTGGATACAGTCAGAGCAATCAAAGGAGGAGAGAAATGTGCAGGTGGCCCAGGAAGCTCCGCCTCCTCCAGGAAGCCTTCTCGGACTGCCACTCTCCCACAGCTACTGCAGTCACAACTGGGCTCCTGCACTGTCCTGGGCAGGCTGCGCCGGTTTCTACCGAGGACCTACAACATATGAGGCTGACCACTCAGAAGTACCATTTTAATAGGCTGAAGCCCTCCAATACTGACATACTTCACCTGGACCTCACCCTGACACTGTCCACCCTGGGGCTATAGTGAGGAACAGTCCCAATCCCTGCCTCCTGGGGACCCAAGATAAAGCGGAAAACAAGCAAACAAGCGACAGTGACAAAACATGAAGTGCTGAGAAGGAAAAGAGAAAGGACCTGAACCAGGGTACTGGTAGGAGAGGGCGGTCAGCAAAGTGGGCTGTGACCTGCCGTAAAGATGGTGAGCTGCCATCCCACCAGGAACTAAGACAAGGGCAGGAAGAGGGTGGGTGAGGAAGAGGCCAGGTGTGGCTGCAATGGCAGCAGGCCCATCTAGTCCAGCAGCTCGACCCAAAGAATTTTCTGCCATGACCGGAGTGTTCCATGCCTGCGCCGCGCTGGCTAGTGGCCGCCACACTGGACGGCGCACAAAGAGCCCAGAGGGCAAAGGAGGAGTGAAACGTGAGTCTCCCAACAGGAAGCCCCTGGAGGGCTTCCGTGGGGGCAGCACAGATCAGAGGCACCTGGAAGCTGGACGGGAGGGAGGGCCCCTACCCTCCGTGCCCCAGAGGCACGTTTTAAGCCAAACGTAGAGAAAAGGCAGAAAGGAGCGGAGAGGAGGCACATCGTGTCCGGCTCTCCCTCAAGGGCTGCCTCCCGCTCGCTGGTGATGAGCAGCGTCCCTGGCGCCCAACAGGTGTGCACCCGGGCCTCGGTGCGAGCGCTCCGCCCCCGAGACCCTGCCCCTCCCACGACCCTGCCCCTCGGCCCCGCCCCTCCCATGGCGGTCCCGCCCCTCCCGGAGGCCCTTCCGCCGCGCGGGCCCCGCCCCACCCCGCCCCCGACCACCCCGGGCCCCGCGCGCCCCTCCCGGCCCCGGCCTCCGCCGCCCCCGCCTCCGGCCTCGCCCCCTCCCAGCCAAGCCAGCCTCCCCCCGCCGGCCCGCCCCCGCCGGCCCGGCACCACCGCACGCCGCTGCCTCACCTGGGCTTCGGTGGCTCCCGGGCGCGTTCCGTGCTTTCTCGGAGGGAGGGGCGGTACGGGGGGCGGAGCCGGCACCCAAACATCACGTGACGGCCTCTCTCGCGCCGGCGAGGGCCTCGAGGCCGCCCCCCTTCCGCCCCGTCGGCCCCGACGCCTCGCGCCAGCCAATGGCCACCGAGCCGCGGACGAGCTGAGGACGGCGTGAGCCCTGGGACTACAAGTCCCAGAGTGCCCCGCGCGGGCGGCGGAAACGGCCTGGGACGGCGGCCGGAGGGGGCCAGAAAGCCTGCGCCCGGCGGGAGCCGCCCGCGGCTACCCAGGGCCGCGGCTCTCGAGGGCCACCGAGGGCGCGCCGTCCCGGCCTGCCGGGCTGGGCCGAGCCGTTCCCGCCGCCTTACCGGGCCTGTAGGTGGCCGGCTTACTCGCACCCCCGATCCTCAGTACCCCCATCTGTGGAACGGGGGTGACAGACGCGGAGTGCGCGGTCCCCGCCTCAGAGGCCCGACCGGATCTCAGGGGTCTGAGAGGCCGAGCCGCGGCGGCGCAGTGGCCGTGCGGGCCCCGGACTCGGGTCCGGAGGGCACAAGGGCCAGCGCCCGGGTCTAGGGCGGCCGCTGAGCACTGCCGGGAGGGGCCGTGCCCTGCGGACCCCACGCCTTGGTCCGTGCCAGCGGGGGAGTAGACGGGATCGTCACCACACCCCAAAGCCTTTCCGCGGAGGGCCCTCAGGGGACGGGTCTGCAGAGAGCGGGGTCTGAGGGTGCTCCGGCCCCGCCCCACCCTCAGCGGGCGCGGGTGTGGAGGAAAGGAGGGGAAAGCGAAGTACACCTCCTCCGCGACGACCACCTGCAGAGTGTGCTTCCTGCCTACCCAGCGGGCCGAGCGGGTGCCCCGGGGCTGCGGACCGGGTGGTCTAGCGCAAGCAGGGCCGCCCGGGGCGGGTGCTCAGTACCTGCTGCCTCCTCCCTAGTCTGGGGCGAGGGCCCCTACCGCCCCTCGGAGAAGCAGGAGAGACGGCCCCCCCTCCATCAGGACCCGGACGGGTGAGGGTCAAGGGGATGGCCAAGAGACCCCCAGAGGAAGAGCGGAGGGAAGAAGCTGCCGCAGCCCCCACGGGGCATCTGCCCGCTGCACTGCATCCTCGCTGTGCTCGCGGGGTCTTCAGAAGAAGCCTCCATGTAGCGCCCACCAAAGCCGACCCCAGAAACGCTCGCTGTAACAGGGGTAGCCACCTGGGCTTCTGCGTGGTGGTACCAGATCCCTGGGTCAAACACTGTGAACCTGGGGTCTGCAGCGAGTTCCCCTCCCCCACCCTTCCTGTCTATCCCCTGAAGACCGGCTCCCAGGTCAGCTTCTCTGGGAAATCAGCCCACCCAGCACCGTCCGGAGGAAGAAGGTGTTTACACTTCCACTCTGCCCCGCCACACCCCGACCCAGCACGTGGCAGCCCTCACTCACTCACCACAGACCCTCCTCCATCAAATCCCGTGAGCAGGTCATCCCTGCGGCCCAGTCCCCCTTTGTCCCTTCCCAACAGAACCCATTTTGTTCAAGGCAGCAAGGTAGTGCTGGCCCGGAGGAAGACGGCAGAGGACTCAGTGAGTCTTCAGACCCAGAAGGGACCGAAGTAGCCAGCTAGCCCTCTGCCTTCTCTTGTTCCAGCCTGGAATGCGGGCACGGTCTCCCAAGGAGAGCAGCCATTTGGGGAGCAAAGGGGTGGGTCCCAAGCTGCGGACAGGGAGCAGCTGCATGGTGGAGCCTCCACCCCAGCTGTACCCGCTCATCAGAGAGGAAACAAGCCCCTGCTTCCTCCACACTGCTGCTGGCACCCCTCCTAGCCCATACAACCGCATCCAGGCGTGACGACCACCCTTTTAGGCTTGTGACCTGCCCACCGTGCAACAGGCCTCTTGAGGGCAGGCCCATGTGGTTGAATTTGCATCTCGGCGCTCAGCAGGGCACCCTGCATGTGGTGTGGCCTCGGGGAGTGATGACAAGTCAGCGAGCACACCAGCTGCACTCACGGGGGCCTAGTGTTCACTCTGTGTCCCCACAGAGCCTACTCTCTTTTAACACCAAACCTATCCCTGTGTTGCTGTGTGATGTTGAGCAGTGACACCTTCTCCGGGCGTGTTCAAAGCGGTGATGTGGGAGCCGGCTGGAGAACAGGCATGGGAGGGGCAGGGTGGCGCACCGCTACCCTGTCACCTGTCACCTGTACGGGGCAGTGTCACTGGGGGACATGTGCTGGGAAAGGGCTGACGCAGGCCCAGCACCTAGCGGGGGCTTGACCAACACAAGCACCTCACCCCCAAGTGTTCGAGACCAGTCTCAGGCGCTTAGAAAACTGACTCCACATGAGACTCCTAGCAGCCTCCCAAGGTATTTATCACCAAGCAGGAGTGGCAAAAAAAAAAAAAAAAAAAAAGAAACTCCACGACAGGAGCACTTGAGTGTCGTCTTTGCTAACCTCTGTGAAGGAGGAGTTTGCCGCCCCTCCTGGGAAGTAGCAGAACCTGCTTATTCCCCACCCCCATGGGAGGAGGCATCTCCACACCCCAAGGAGCCAGTCTGTCTGTCCGTCACCCAGCACCCAGGCTTGCTACCTGGCACAGCGTCCCCCTCTCCTCTTGCCAAATCTTATCCTGTTTGCCATCATTTATTCATTCAACAACCTTCCGATGTCAGGCAACGTGCTAGGCCTTGGGGATGCCACACAATTAGATTTGGTTGCTAATGCCAGAAAATCCCAATAACAGTGGCTTAAATATAATCAACATTTACTTTCAGTGGTACACATTCAAGTCCAAATAGGCCATAGGGCTGGGAGGGTGGGCCTCACAATCATCAGTACCCTGGACTCCTTTAATCTTGTTCCTTCGACCCTCGAATGGGGCCTCTGCCTCATGGCACAAAATAGCTGTGTAAGTGCCAGCCATCACGTCTGCTTTCCAACATCAGGAAGGAGAACTGGATAGTGGGAATGCACACACCCCCAATCCCATCCTTTTAAGGACACTTCCTGGATACTGTACACCCCATATCTGCTTACACCCCCCCAACCCCACCACCACCACCCCTCTTGGCCAAAACTGGGTCCCTTGGGTACTTTTAGTTGCAAAGGAGGCTAGGAAATGTCGTCTTCCTGAGGACTATGTTCCCAGCGGCCATCTGGGCTCTTGTACCAAGTAAGAAGGGGAGGATGGGGCCCATCTAATAGTCTCCACCAAGACACAGCCCTTGTCACAGTGCTTGCTGTTTAGCACGCAGGCCACAAAACGCACAAATGTGCACTGGGAACCTGGGTGAAAGCTGTGCAGGAGCAGAACGGGGGCGTGGGGGATCCAAAGGGGGCTGGGGGTCAGGGAAGTCCAAGGAGGCCTGGCACAGGGGAGTCTTGAGGGGTAGCGTTTCTGGGAGGTGAGTTGGGAGTGTCCAGCAGGAAGGCAGGGAGCCTGTGGACATCCGTGTGCCACTGTCACACCTCCTGTGTGGAGGCGTCCTGACCTCTCCAGCCGCTGATGGCCTCAGAGCCCCTGCCGCTCAGACCACCCCTTGTGCTCCCTCAGCCACAGGTGGGGAACCTGGCCCTGGCAGCGAGGGGCACACACAGGTCCACAAGGGGCCTCAGCAGCCCTGGGGCCCCAGGCCTGTCTCTGACGCCCAGGCCAGGGCTCTACCTCTACATCACAGCCCGCACCCCTCGGGGCTTAAGATCATGGGCATGTAGTGGCCTTCAGATCATGGGCCGTGGGCTCGAAGACCAGCCCAGTGGACTTTAGGGAGGGTCTCGTCTACCTCTCCCTTTAAGGTCCACCACACACAATCTGGCCTGATTACCTGTGCCCGGTGTGTGCACTGATGGGCAGTACACCTGCGCCCAGGTGACACTTGGAGCCCATGAGGGCCGTAAGCGTGCTGGCCACACCCCCAGCCCCTGGACAGCCTGCGGTACTCACGTGGGGGGAGAGAGTAGAATGGACGGGAAGACAGACACTGAAGGGGACACCTTGGGGACCAACCAAGGCAGCCAGTGCTCACTGGTGCTTACTTCTCTGCCCAGGACACACCCACATTTTGTGGCCTCCTGGGCAGTTTGGCGGCCCCGTGGCTGGCCCCAGACATAAGACCAGGAGCAGCAGTGAGGGCGCCTCTTTCCAGCTGCACCAAGCCTGCCCCGCTGTCCTGCGTCATCCCCCTTGTCACCAGGACGTAGAGGAGCTCCACCGGCTTGAGGGCCTCCAGCTGATGCCGGACAGGCCCCAGGAGGGAAGGGCCCCGGGCCGAGGCGCTCTCTCACCCATGGGCTACTGAGTGTGAGAGGAGAGGACAAAGGTGGGGCTACAGGAAGCAGACAGAGGAAAAGGCACTGCCTCTGCAGGGCCTGGACCGCTAGCCGAGCCCCAGACAGCACTTGGGGTTTGGGGAAGGGGGTGCGTCAGCCCAGCGCTGTTTCCCAGGGGCTCGGGGAGTTGGGGTGAGGAGCTGGCAGGTGGGGGAGGAAGAGAAGTAAAGAGCAGGGGGCGTAGGGGAGGGGGAGGGGAGCAGGGGGCCCCTCCGGCACCCCGCGTGGGTCTGGCTCACCCCCAGGTAGGGTGTTGGGAGCTGGGCCTGCATTTGGGCTCCTCTGGGAGGAGTGTGGTGAGTTCTCTTGGCCCGAGGCGTCCCCATGCCGGGACCCACGTGGCTGCTGCCCGCACCCCGCCTTGATTTCCTCTGAGGTGCTCTGCACACGTGGCACCTTGTTCTTTTGGTACCAAGTCTCTGTTTAGGGACAGACAGACTCCTTCTCCTCTCCCTGTCCCTCTTCTCCCTCCAGCTGGGCCTCCAGATCACTGGCCACACTGGCCACCAACCCTGCAGCGCCTCCCCCGGCTCTACCACTGGCCAGCAGGGGCGGCCCGTCGACACCTGCCCTGAGCCTTGACTTCCTCAGATCTGCGGCATGGATCACAGTGTTCCCTGCTCCGTGGAGCTGACGTGAGGCTTGTGGGGGCCAACGCCTGCGAAGCCTTCACTGCCCTTAGCCCAGACCTGGTCCGCTGGAGACCCTGGGCACGTGTGAGCACATGGCCTGTCTGACTTGTCATTGATCTCTTGGGTGCGTGCTGAGCACCAGTGCCAAATACCAGGGCCAAGAGCATGTGGATGCCACCCTCAAGGTGTCTCAGAGGAGCAGAAGGAGACAGACAGGCCCAAAGAATCACCTACTGGGCTGTAAGTCTGTTGTTAGAAGGTTGTATGAGGAAACAGGGTGTTGGAAAGGTTTCCCAGAGAAGGGGCATTTGGATTGGGTGCTGAAGGATGAGTAGGAGTTTGCCAGCAGGAACGGTATGAATCTAACGTGGCTGCTGAAGAAGGTCACCATGTCCACCTCCTGTGTCGGATTCTGCCCAAACTCCTATCCCAAACCTAACACATGGGGGTTTGCCCGGTCTCCTGCCTGCTTCCCCCTCCTCTCCTCCCTGCACACGTTGACATTGACACAAACACAGTCCCACACACTCATACAGAGTCACACACATTCTCACACTCACAGAGTCAAGAACTGATTTCAGTGTGTTCCTCCCCATCCCCACCCGCCACGCGCAGGGAACCGCGGTAACGAGATGCTAACGAGCAAAGGTAAAGCTCAGAGAGAACTGCATCTTACAAAATCAAAACACTTTGTGCTTCCAGGGACACCTCCCGGCAAGTGAACTGCCAAACCTCACGACAGCGCTGTGTGTGGGCAGAAAGCACCCGCCAGCCCCATC